GTGAGTTTGCTTCTTTTTTGTTCTAGAGCTTTCAGTTTGCTGTTAATTCTCTAGTGTGACTATTCTCTAGTTTCTTCTTGTGGGTACTTAGTGCTATGAACTTTCCTCTTAGTACTGCTTTCAAAGTGTCTCATAAGTTTGGGTATGTTGGGTCTTCATTTTCATTGAATTCTAGGAAGTCTTTGATTTCTTTTTTATTTTTTCCTTGACCCAGGTATGGTGCAATTGCTCATTGTTCAATTTCCATGGGTTTGTAGGGTTTCTGCAATTTGTGTTATTGTTGAATTCTAACTTTAATGCAAGGTGGCCTGATAAGATATGGAGGCGGTTATTTCTATTTCTTTTTGTATCTGTTGAAGTTTGCTATGTTGCCAAGTATATGATCGATTTTAGAGAAGGTTCCATGTGGTGCTGAGAAGGTATATTATTTTTTGTTTGGATGAAATGTTCTATAAATGTTTGTTAAATCCAATTGGGCCATAACTTCTGCTAGTTCCTTTGTTTCTTTGTTAAGTTTCTGTCTGGTGATCCTGTCTAGTGGTGAGAGTGGGGTGTTGAAGTCTCCCACTATAAGTGTGTGTGGGGGGTTATATGTGATTTAAGTTTTAGTAATGTTTCTTTTACAAATGTGGGTGCCTTTGTATTTGGGGTGTAGATGTTCAGAATGGATTGAGATTTCATCGTGATGGACTTTTCCTGTGATGAATATGAAATGACCTTCTTCATCTCTTTTGATTGATTTTAGTTTGAAGTCTAATTTGTTAGATATTAGGATTGCTACACCAGCTTGTTTCTTAGATGCATTTGATTGGAAAATCTTTCCCCAACCCTTTACTCTGAAGTATCGTCTGTCTTTGAAGTTGAGGTGTGTTTCTTATATGCAGCAGAAGGATGATTCTGTCTTTGTATCCATTCTGTTAGCTTATGTCTTTTTATAGGCAAGTTAAGACCATTGATATTGAGGGATATTAATGACCATTGATTGTTCATTCTTGTTTGTTTTGGATTTGGTGGTGGTGGTGGAATTGTGTGTGATCCCCTCCCCCCTATTTTTTCTTTTGCTGTTTGGTGAAGTGGGATTATCTATTGCCTACGTTTTTGTGAGTATAGTTAACTACCTTGGGTTGGACTTTTCCTTCCAGTACTTTCTGTAGGGCTGGATTAGTGGATATGTATTGTTTAAATCTGGTTTTTTCATGGAATATCTTGTTTTCTCCGTCTATATTGATTGAAAGTTTTGCTGGATATAGTAGTCTGGGCTGGCATCTGTGGTCTCTTAGTGTTGGTAGAATATCTATCCAGGACCTTCTGGCTCAGAGTTTCCTTTGAGAAGTCAGGTGTAATTCTGATAGGTCTGCCTTTATATGTTACTTGGCCTTTTTCCTTTGTTGCTCTTAATATTTTTTCTTTATTCTGTAAGTGTGGTGTTTTGATTATTATGTGGCAAGGGGACTTTTATTGTGGTCCAGTCTATTTGATGTTCTGTAAGCTTCTTGTACTTTCATAGGCATGTCCTTCTTTAGGTTGGGAAAGTTTTCTTCTATGATTTTGTTGAATATGTGTTCTATATCCTTGAGATGTATTTCTTCACCTTCCTCTATACCTATTAGTCTTAGGTTTGGCCTTTTCACAGTGTCCCATATTTCCTGGATATTTTGTGTTAGGAATTTGTTTCATATAAGATTTTCTTTGGTCGATGACTCTATTTCTTCTAGTGAGTCTTTAACACCTGAGATTCTCTCTTCCATCTCTTGTATTCTGTTGGTTATACTTTCATCTATAGTTCCTGATCATTTGCCCAACTTTTCTATTTCCAGCATTCCCTCATTCTGTGTTTTCTTTATTGTTTCTATTTCAGCTTTCAAGCCTTGAACTGTTTGAATTGTTTACTTCACTTGCTTGTTTGTTTGTTTGTTTGTTTTTCTTGACTTCCTTGCTTTAAGAGAATTGTTTAGTTCTTGAATTTTTTGGTTTGTCTTTTCCTCCATTTCCCATATTTTTTGTTTGTTTGTTTTTTCTTCCATTTCTTTAATTTTCTCGTTTCCTCTTTGAGGGTCTCTTAACATCTTCATAAAGTTGTTTTTAAGGTCCTTCTCTGCTGCTTCATCTATGTTGGGATGTTCGAGTCCTGCTGGTGTAGAGTCACTAGATTCTGGTGGTGTCATATTGATCTTTCTGTTGTTGAATGTGTTCTTATACTGTTGTCTTCCCATCCCTTCTTCCAGTGGGTGCAGGTGGGGTCTCCCCCTCTCCTGTTTTCTCCCGGTGAGTGTAGGTAGGCCAAGACCTCGATGTTGGCAACTCTGGATAGTCCAACCTCTTCTGGTGTTCTCCTTACACAGAAGCATAGGAGGGGCAAGACTTAAGCTCAAGCTCAAGCTGAGGGTGTAGGGGGGCCAAAGTTCACTATGAGCAGACTCTGGATAGTCTGGGCTGCTGTGACAGGTCCGCTACAGGTGGAGCAGACCCAGGAATTCCCAAGGAGGAAATGGGGTTAATTTAGCCTAGGCAGGACCTAGGCTCACCTCAACCGGAGGGGGAAAATGGTTCTTTAGCGTAGCTCCCGGCACTAACTGTGTACTTACCTTGGTTCCTATGTGCTGTTTGAGACATATTATGTATTTAAATCTGCTTAAAACAGTATTTTGGAGGATGGCTCAGCAGTTAAGAGCATGTGTTATTCTTGTAGAGCTCCAGGGTTAAGTTCCCAGAACCCACATAATGGATCACAGCCATCCACAACTCTATCTAGAGGATGCAGCACCCTCTTCTGACCTCTGTGGGCACCAGGCACACATGTGGTACTTAAAGATATTTTCATAAAATATAATTATTGCTTTCTACTCATATTAAAAATAGATACTTAGTATGTTATTTATTCTGGGGAATACATGTTGCCTGATTTTATCTTAATTATTTGTCACAAGCAGCTATGAGAGTAAATAACCTTCAATAAATGAAGAAATATAAAATTTCAAGAATAAATAGAAACTTTTAAAACCAATAGACATGCAATTTAAAATATTATAATAACCATTTAAAATTGATTGACTCACCAGAAAAATCCAAACCTTTCTTTTTAGTATTTTCAGTGATAATGCCTAGATAGGCTCCCAAAATTCTACTCATATTAGAATTCTGTGTTTGAAGGAAAGTCTTAACTCTTTCTACTAGATTTTATGTTATTTTTAACAGACACACTGGCTTCTACTTACCAGCCAGACAACTGATAAGATGTCATGAAAACATTCAACAGAAAGTACCTCAATAAGCAGGTGGACTAGACTCACCGGGTCTGAAATTCAGAGGGACTGAATTCACTGCCCACTTCATCTTTGCTTTCTTTTTCTTTCCTGCGTTTTATGAAAGACAAAATTCTCAGTGCCCTTTGGTCACCAAAACATTATGTGTGAGAATACACTTAACCAATACTTAGGGGAGAGGAACCATCCTATAGTGCTATTCAATTCTCATGCTGCATACCTGAGGGTACTTTCATATTCCATACATTGATAGTTGAGTCCCACGAAACTATGTCCCATTTCAGATTACAAATGTGTGTAGCATACTATACTTCTGAATGATTTCTTAGCTAGACATTATAAATACACTATAGTTTTGAAAGACTTTTCAGCTAAAATGTATAGTTCCTGTGAGTCATTGATTAGATTTGTAGAGTTTGCTACTCTAGCTCACAGAATTCAGAGAATGTCAATTAGTGATTTTCATTTATTCCTGAGGGTAACAGAAAGGATACAGATAATAAGGTGTTGTTTCCATAAGCCTCTGCTACTGTAACAAATACCTGAAGCAATCAACTTATAAAGAGAAAAGGTTTTACTTTGACTCACACAGGTCTGGAATTTTCACACCATGATTAGTTGGTGCCGCTGCTTCGGGGCCTGTGAAATTTGAAGGATGCATTAGCATCATCGTGCAGAGAACCTAGTTTACCTCAGGGCTAAGAAAGGGCTAAGGGTCCACTGCTCATTCTTTTTTTTTCTCCATTTTTTATTTAAATTAGGAACAAGATTATTTTACATGTCAATCCCAGTTCCCTCTGCCTTCCCTCCTCCCCCCTCCAACTAACACCCTACCTATCCCATACCCTTTCTGCGCTCCAGGGAGGGTGAGGCCTTCCATAGGGGGTCTTCAGAGTCTGTCATGTCCTTTGGGATAGGGCCTAGGCCCACCCCCTTGTGTCTAGGCTTGGGGAGTATCCCTCTACATGGAATGAGCTCCCAAAGTCTATTCCTATGCTAGGGATAAGTACTGATCTACTATAAAGGACCCATAGAATTCAGAGGTCTCCTCACTGACACCCACATTCATGGTGTCTGGATCAGTCCTATGCTGATTTCTCAGTTATCAGCCTGGGAACCAAGAGTTCCCCCTTGTTCAGGTCAGCCGTTTCTGTTCACCAGCCTGGACTTAACTGCCCATTCTAAAAGAACTCTCCCCAATGATGGGAAGACCTCCCCACTTACCCTCAGCTCTGGAATTCCCACCAGCACCAAGTAGTTCAGGCTGAGGAGCAAAGCTTTAAGACTTGGACCCTTGGAGGACAATTCACATCCAAACGGTAGCCTATGAAGAAAGTGAGGTAAGGCTGAGGAAGCCCCAGTGCCCCTCAAAGGAAGCCTCCATGTCCTCTAAGAATCTCCAGGTTGTCTATTAACTGAAGCTTCCTGAATTCAGACCTTTAAATTTTTTGTGAATGCTGCATTCTTTGGTTACATTTATTAAAACAGTGCCAACTGATGATAAACCTAGCCACTAGACCCTTCCTCCTTCCAAGAGGCTTTGGATAACACTGAAAAAAATGCCAGCTCTGTAATCATGCATTGATTTTTCCTGTGCCAGCTCCCACACTAAGGAGGTTACCACCTACCAGTAAACCCATTAACCTATAAAAGGAGTCATCACTAAGTATTACAAATATTTTAAGAATTTATATGTTAAAATACAGCAGGAAGATTAAATGTCAGTCTAGCCGTATCATGAATGGTTTTCCCTGGCTTTTATTTAAACAGTGCTTGGTGTACCCTGCTGGTAATGAAAGATGATCTATCCAGTCCTACTACACCATTTTCCACCAAGACCAGACAGCAGTTTGGTCCTTTTGTAGCTGGGGCATTTGCAAAGCAGCCCAGCTGGAAAGGCAACCTCACCAATCATGTTCCATTTTTGCCTACTTTCCATGCATCCTGCTCTACTAGCTTCATTATAATGATGAACTTAACTGCACTTTTTTTCCATCAGAAAACTCCAGTGTCTCCCTTTTTCAACTTTGCACTTCCCCTTACTCTTTCCCCCAATGCCTAGGAATGTTCATGCTTTTATTATTTCCAAAAATAAACTCTTTTTACCACACTTGGGGTTTTGTAATTTAAAATAATAATAATAAATTTGTGTTACCCGTCATACACACAAGAGAAAGTTGAATTTGGACTCAAATGATAGATGGTGGAATTGTTTTCATTGTTCTCTATTGTGTCTGGGCTTGGGACCAGAAGTAATGGCAACCAAAAGGCTTCCATTTGCTCTGTCTTTACAAGCTCTCTTTAGTGCACAGATACAATTTTAATTTTAATGGGAGTTTTTGCATGGGAGCTGGTTATCCAAAAGTGATGCTGTAACAGGGTCACAGCAGATGGTGTTTCTATGGGGTTGACTAATGATTTTCTTCTCTTTCTTTTCCAGTTAAACCAGCTACTCTTGGCAGAGTTCCCCCAATTCTGCAAAGAATTAATCCAAGCCTGGGGACAAGTAAGAATTTCTGTCATTTTACTAACTTGCACTGATGGTTTCCATGTGTTAGTATAATTCAAGCTACTATCCTTTCTCTATTTGGGATACTTGTGACAGAAAAAGTGACAGAATTAAAATTTTATAGGCAAAAAGTATTATTTCAGGATTTACTTTTCAATTTCTCTATAGAGCTCTTTCTTCATTTTTCTGTTTTGCTTATGCTTTCTGGTTAACTGTGGCTAAACTTAACAGAGAGAAATGGATCTAGAGTGGATCGACAGTAATTTGTTAAATTTAGAAAATCTCCCTGTTTTACAAATCCCTTTTTAACATTATTATTGTTATTTGGAAGTATTATGTAATGCTTCCATTGACAAAACATAGAATTTGTCCCTCCATACAAATTTCCTTATACCTCAAAATACTGCCTTCATACGAGCTATCTATTCTCTCTTAAATGTCACCACAATCCCCCTTTTGTCTTTTGATTATCTCTTTTTTAATATTTTATTTAACTTATATTAAATTTAAAATTACATACCAATCCCAGTTCCCTCTCTCTCCCATTCTCCCACTCCCCCCACCATTACCCCACCCCCCATCCACCCCTCAGAGAGGGCAAGGTCTCCCATGGTGCTTCACCAAAGTGTCACATCATTGGGAGCAGAACCAAGGCCCTGCCCCATGTACCTAGGCTGAGCCAGGTGTCCCTCCATAAGAAATTGGTTCCACAAAGGCAGTTCACTAGGGATAAATAGTGGTCCCACTGCCAACGACCCTACAAACTGTCCAAGTCCCCCAGTTGTCACCCATATTCAGGGGACCTAGTTCTGTCTTATGCAGGTTCCCCAGCTGTCAATCTGGAGTCTGTGAGCTCCCACTTACTCAGGTCAGCTGTCTCTGTGGGCCTTCCCAACATGGTCTTGACCCCTTTGCTCATATTATTGCTCCTCCCTCTCTTCATCTGGAATCCAGGAGTTTGGCCCAGTGCTTAGCTGTGGATCTCTGCATCTGAGTCCATCAGTTACTGCATGATGGCTTTATGATGACAATTAAGGTAGTCAGCAATCTGATTATAGGGAGAGGCCAGTTCAGGCGCTGTTTCCACTATTGCTTAGATTGTTCACTGGGGTCATCCTTGTGGATTCCTAGGAATTTAGCTAGTGCCAGGTTTCTTGTTAACCCCATAATGGTTGCCTCTATCAAGGTATCTTAACTTGCTCTCCTTCTCTGTCCCTCTCCCAACTCAATCTTCCTGATCCCTCATGTTCTCCTATCCCTTCCCCTCCTCCACTCCCCTCTTTCCTACCACCCTCCCCCTCCCCCCACACTCCTAATTTACTCAGGAGATCTTGTCTATTTACTTTTCTGGAAGGGTGTGTGTCTATGTGTATCTCTTAGGATTCACCTTGTTTCCTATTTTCTCTGGGGTTGTGGGTTGCAGGCTGGTTATCCTTTGCTGTTTTGTTTAATATCCACTTATGAGTTAGTACATACCATGTTTGTCTTTCTGAGACTGGGTTACCTCACTCAGGTTGGTTTCTTCTAGTTCCATCCATTTGCCTGTTAATTTCAATATGTCATTGTTTTTTATCACTGAGTAGTACTCCATTGTGTATATGTACCCCATTTTCTTTGTCCATTCTTTAGTTGAGGGGCATCTAGGTTGCTTCCAGATTCTAGCTATTACAAATAATGCTGCTATGAACATAGTTGAGCATCTGACCTTATTGTATGAATGTGCATCCTTTGGGTATATGCCCAAGAGTGGTATTGCTGTGTCTTAAGGTGGATTGATTCCCAATTTTCTGAGAAACTTCCATACTGATTTCCAAAGTAGCTGTACGAGTTTGCACTCCCACCAGCAATAGAGGAGTGTTCCCCTTACTCCACATCCTCTCCAGCATAGGCTTTCCTTAGTGTTTTTCATTTTAGCCATTCTGACAGGAGTAACATGATATCTCAAAGTTGTTTTGATTTGTATTTCTCTGATAGCTAAGAATGTTGAGCAATTCCTTAAGTGCCTTTCAGGCATTTGAGATTCCTCTGTTGAGAATTCTCTATTTAAATCTGTACCCCATTTTTAATTGGATAATTTGATCTTTTGGTGTCCCATTTCTTGAGGTCTTTGTAGTTAACCATTAACTAAAAACTTAGCATGTTCTAAATACTTACCGAATCTATAGGATGCAAGGATTTATAAGATACAGCCCTGTACAATTTACTAGTAGGGGACAGAAAATACACAAAAGTTTGTATATTATAGAAGATCTCTATGGAATCACTGTCGTATCCTGAAGCACTTCAGCAGCCAAGGGTAAGAGAGCCCTATTCCTGTTAAAATCCACCACTGCTCCAACAATTTTGAACCACCCTCCCAGTTTCAAGCATTTTTTAATTGAATAATTTCATCATTAAGAACTCATTGTCTTACTTGCAAGGGAGTCTCACTGGGGAAATAGAGCTACTCTTAGGGTAGGCTACATGCCCAGCAACAGATGGCCAACAGAAAACAAATTCAAACACATCTTTGAAAGGTTTTTTTTTGTCTCCTAATGTCCTGTCAGGGAATATCTCCTTTTATTAGTATTTTTAATGAGATTTCTGAGTATTTGAACAAATTATTTTCTGCATCTGTATCTGCTTCTAGAGCCCTTTCCTGGGCTCTTTGCCTTCTTTCTTCTTCTTTCTTCTGTGTTAGTTTTTGTCTTTTATTTTATTTTATTTTATTATTAAATAGAAGACATTTTATGTTCTAATGAGAGACAAAGATGGAGTGAATCCATTTGGTAGTGGGGAGGAACTGAGAGAAGTAAAGGGAGGGGGGCTGTAACCAGGACATATTATGTGAGAAAAGAAATACATTTTCAATAAAAGGGGGAGACCCTTGTTGCCTGACAGCACAGCAAACTGAGACATAACATAAAGGAAAGTGTGGCTTTGTGCAGTGTGTATTAGATGGAACACACAGTGTTCCTGTGTTACAGGACTTGAGCTCTGGTGGCTCTGTGCAGTGTGTATTAGATGGAACACACAGAGTTCCTGTGTTACAGGACTTGAGCTCTGGGCACACACTGGAAAGCAGTACTGCCTGGGTTCTGACACTGAAGCCGACTGTGAATTCTTGACAGTCTACTTGTTTATAAAAGATTCAGTCAGCGATTCAGTAAGTAAACACAGATTCGGTTGATGGTTTATAAGGAGACAGTGTTTATGTTGGCTCACTCTAGAACCCAAATGAGTGGTAAACTCCTCCTGACTCACATGCAGCCCTAATCTCCAGATGATGCCAAGCCATCTAGTGGTGCTCTCCAACCCTTTTCCTTGCTTTTCAGAAATAGCAGGCAGCCAGGTAGAATTATGCATTTTATACAAGGAAAGGCAAAGTACAGAGAAAAAGGCTTACTTGGCACTCTTAACAGACCAACAGAGAGTAAAGAAGATACTGTGACTGCAGTGCTGTGTACCTGCTCCTAGTAGAGCAAAACAAAAAATAAAGCCTGGTGTAGTGAGGTTTGCCTGTAATCCCAGCTCTTGGGAAGTGGTAGTGTGAAGGTTAGTAGCTCAAGACCAGCCTCAGTTATGTAACAAGGTCAAGGTGAGCCTGAGCAGTGTGAGACCAACTCAGGAAGGAGAAGAAGAAGAAGAAGAAGAAGAAGAAGAAGAAGAAGAAGAAGAAGAAGAAGAAGAAAAGTTAGACACTTCCTCAAATAGTCACATCAATATTCACTCATCAGTGACTCTTTTCCAACCTCAAATACCCAGATAGAGACCACAATTATTATGCTATGCGTATCAGGACTTTGTTACAGACTGTGCTGTTTTTCACGTGGACTGCGTGGAAAACAAGGGCTCTTTATAAGATAAATGTCCAGTCGTAACATTTTCTAAATATTTCTTCAATTCCTTACAGTGTTCTGAACCTTAAGAAATGCTAATATTTACCACTAACTTGCAAGAAACCTATTCCCCCTTTCTGAACATGCTTCAGTCACAGATAATGGAACCTCTACCACGAAGGTCCTTTTGGTGATACATATGTAGTATGCTCTTCTTTTTCTTTGGGGGTGCAATTTAAAACGAATAGTTAAAATAAAACACTCTTCTTTAGAAGTCTACTAAGTATGTTTAAACAGGTCCCTGAAAAATTATAGTGTGCCAATGTGTACTCTATATACAGATTCCTAGCATCATTTTTCTGCCAAAGTACAGCATACATTTTCAAGGATAAAATCCAAAATAAATAGTCTCTCACCCTAGATGGCCCCAGTGTTAGGGACTATGGGAAGTTTAGCAGTTCACAGTTGGTTACAACTTTTGCAGTCTTGCCTATAGCCTACTCATTTGTTGGTTAGTTCCACTCTTCAAATCCAATTCTTTAATCACCAGAGAGCCCTATATTCTAAATGGTAGATATAGATTATGTATCACTAGGATAGAGCATTTATGACTATCATTCCAGAAAGATCCTTGGTCCACATAGCTCCTGTGTATGATAAACAGGGTTTGTTTTTCAGGTATTATCAAGTTGTGAATTGAAGAAAAACAGTTGAATCTTCCATAGATATGTCACGTATAAAGAAGTTAATCTCAGTGTTTACTGATAAAGAAGAATCTATAATGTTTATTTTTAAAAGATGCATGGACTTAATAAAGACTTGAAGCAAATATACCAGGATTATTTTCCAAGTAATTGGGTGCCTAGTGGCAAGTGTGCAACACAAGACAATATGTGCTTGAACCAAAAACACTCAAGTGCTGGTTGTTTTCTAAGCAGAGTTCTTGTAACTGAGTAATGAGGCTATATGTCTTTCTTTAAAAGTTGTTTAAATGTATGACTTCTTAAATTTGTATTTTCACATGATCCACAATGTATAGTATATATTGGTCAACTGCAAGACTACAAGGGTTTTTTTCAGTGTTTCTTAGCAGTTTAAAGTTTGATTTTTTGTGTGTGTATGTATTTGATCCCTCTTGACTGGGGATTTTTGCACACATAACTTGAGCTGGGAGCCTAC